CTATGTTTTTCTCTGAAGAGGTAATTCAAATGATCTCTGCTAGCCCTTTCTTGAAAGGAAATTCAGTTAACACTGATCTTTGTCCATAAAGAATGGTTATTCACAGTTCTGTGGCAACAGAGTGGTAGGCAGGATTTTATTTTTAATAATTTGGTTGCCAAAGGCTTTTATGGTAATTTTCAAATGTGGATACTGGTGTTTTGTGGCTCAGTCTGGGATACTTGGACTCCAAGTCAGCTCAGAAAATAACCACGAGGGTATTATGGCCTTGGCCATCTTGGGGGGGGGGTCACAGCCCCACTGCCTGAAAGAGTAAAAGTGTCACAACCCACCGGACAGCTCACGGCGCTGTCCCCTTCCCACGCTGGCCCGGAGACCTCATTCTTCTGGGTGCAGAGTTTGATCTGATACTGCCACACTTTATTTTTCTCTGTTTGGTTCCTAACAGAAGACCTTGTTGAGAAATGGCTTAACATGCACCTGAATTAAATGACTGATTCTGGAAACTGAAGGGGTAACAAAAATGAAGTTGAATTCTCACATGGTGTTCTCCTTGACTTGGCATTCTGGTGAGGGCCAGAACTGGGTCTTAAGGTAATAATGGTGGGAACTCAGAAGTTCTCTGAACATTGTATATGCCTTGGGATGAAGGCACAGGGCAGGGATGCTAATTTAGAAATGGGGAGACAGAAACGCAAATGGGGAAAGTGGCTTTTCTTAAAATTACTACTAAGCTAGTCACTTAAGGAACTAAAACTATTACTGTATATGAGGTTCTCTGGATTTTTCTGTGTTGGCCGTGCCTTATTGCGTTTCTGTCTGTGAGTGGCAGTTGGGCAGGGACAGAGGATGCCATGTTCAAGAGGCAGTGCAAACAGCGGGAAGGAGACTGGACTGGAATTGTCAGTCCCATGACAGCTCTAGCGTGTGGGCGCCTTGCGGGAATCACACAACTGTTCCTCGGCTTGTTTACCCATTGGCAGGGATGAAGTCATGGTTGCCCCTATTGAGTGTCCAGGGCTTTGTGGGAACAAAGGGAATGTGGGCTCCAAGAACGAAGTCCACGTTTTTGAAGGATAAATGCTGTAGAGCACCAGGTGTGCACCGTTCATGTTTGTGTGCGTGTGCATGCCTGCATGTGCGTACATGTGTGTGTGTGTGTGTGCACTTGTGTGTGCGCATGCATGTGTGTGCGTGCATGTGTGCGTGTGTGTTGTCCCTGCTGTGTGACAGACTCAGTGTTCTTGGTCCATCCTTTCATCACCTCCCATTCCTGGGATTCCAGTGACTCGCTCCTGCACTCCTGTGACCTCAGGCCCGGTATTCTGGTGATTTCTAAATCAGTCTTGCCAACCTTGATGCCTCTCTCGAGATCAGAGCCATCCTCCTACTGGACGCTTCCACCTGCATGCCCCCCAGCACCTCGGAAGGCCCGTTTCTACAACTGGATCCCGTCTGGGGGCCATCACACACAGTTGGTTTCTCAGCTAGAAACTTTGGATTCTGTTCAATTCAATTTTCTCCTTGCCTTTTGCCTTTTTCATGTGTTTCATCAGTAACCCAATTCTTTCGCTTCAACTTCCTAAAATTCTCTGTTTTCACCTCTCTTGTTTATTCTGATGCTACTCACAGAGTTTGGGCCCCCATCAAGTCCTTTCTGGATTCAGGCATAATGAATTTTTGACAAACATGTGCTTAAGGAGAACAGTGGATTTAAATATCATCATAGTGGGTGAGGGTTGGTGGGAGGTGGTTGCACAGAGAGCTGGGAACGATGGTGTCATCGAGACGTGCGCCTCCTGTAGGTGCGCTCTTCTGTCACATTGGATTCCTGCTCACTTCCCCTGTGCTCTGGGCCCCTGGGCCTGGGGCGCCAGGTGAGGAGGCCACCCTGAGGCTGTGGTAAGTCGGGCCAGGTTCCTTGCACCCACCTGCCTTCCCACCGCCCCTCACTGCAGCACAGGTGGGAAGTTCATGCAAACCCCAGTGTTTAAACCTCGGTGCAATGAACTTGGTTAATCAGAATGGAAAAGAATATTACTTTTCCTGTCGCTACAGCATGAGCTGAACGGGGCTCCTGCTGGCCATGTTTGTGGTTGAGGGTCCCCCTTCCTGCAGGTTACCCTGCCCTTATAGAGGGTACGATCTAGAGGGCAGTGGGCCGGGAGGAGAGGTTGGGCAGGGCGAGAGCCCCTGTCCTGAGTCATGACCCCGCAAGGGTGGGTCGGCTTCAGGGCCAAGCTGGACAGAGCCCCCACAGGACTGTGCATTGCACCCAGCTGGAGCGGGCGTCGCCTCCGCGCCGATGCCCCCTGTGTCCATCCGCGAGCGTCCCGACTGCCGTGGCCTTGGCCCCTCTCTCGGCGGAGCGCGGGCCGGGCGCCCGGGGAGCCGCACGGGGTGTCCGCTGTGTGGGCGTGGGGTCACCGGCGGCCCGGACTGCTGGGGTTTCAGGCCGTTGCCATGGGTTCCATGTTTCTGTGTCCTCAAATGGCCTTCCCCGTGGCCACCAGAGCAGCTTTCCTAAAGGGCAGGTTGACTGGGTTTGAAAACCGGTTTCCTGTGCCGCGTCTCAGCCGCGCCGCCCTGCACGTGCGTCTCCGACACCGATGCGACCCCCTCTGCTCGCCCTTCCCTTCCAGGGTCGGTCCTCACATGGCACCCGGTCTGAGAACAAGACAAACAAAACCCACCAAAGTACCGGAACTTCTCGGTCCTCCCGCGAGGCCGAGCCCGGGGGCGGCGGAGCCCGACGGGCCATCAGCGGAGGCCCCGCGTGCTGGGGGCGGACCCTCCCCGAGACCCCCGCCGCGCGTTCCCCGGGCCCCTCTCCGCTCACTGCCACGCCCGGGGGTCCCTGCCGTCTGGCCCCGTCTCTGTGCCCAGTACGGCCCCTTCTGCATTTCCGTCGCGTACGGAGCCGTCCATCATCCTTCTCAGCAGGACAAAGCCTGCTGTTCGAGCTCTACCTGCCCGCAAAGGGAGAAGCTTAGTAAATGCTCACAATTTAATTCTGGTTCACTTTTATCTGTCAAATTTAAGTGAAGTAATGAAGTTTGTGAGTGACTCCCTTGTGCATAAGTTAGTGTGGATCAGGAGTTGACACTGGATGACTCGCCCTCTCAAAGCCCATTTCGTGTGGCTCCCTGAGGGAGGGAGCGCTCTGGGGCAAGGAGGAGGGTGTGGGGTCCCCCCAAGAGCCAACCGCAGCCCAACGGGCCTGGGGAGGAGCCCCACGCTGACCCCCGCAGAGACTGCACGTCTTTGTTACGCTTTTGAGTCTTGAATATTGAGTGGGACTGAGGAAATTTCTTTTTGGAAAAGAAAACTTTGAATAAATAGCCTGTCCTGACCCACTGCCCTGGATTAGGTGCAGTTATGAATCAATTGCTGTGAACGGGGATTGGCGAAGCCCTGATTAGCCCGGTGGAAGTTGTGGGTGGGAGGGATTGTTTTTCAGTGTAAATCGAGGTTTTTGTTTGTTTTTTACCAAGAGGGTAAATTGATAATGCCGAGAGAAACTGCAGGTGGCCGTCAGCCTGGCGCGGAGGCCTGCCCATGCAGCCCAGCTTCCCCATCTTGCCCATCCCTCGGTGTCCCCATCTGGGCCACACGCTGCCCTTTCACACGCCGTCCCTACGCCTGGAACGCCCTCCCTCCCATGTACCTGGTGAGCTCCTCCTGATGGGACGCAGTCTGTCCTACGAGGTCCGTCCTTCTGCTGTGTTGGCTGCTTCTCCCTCTGTGAGCTGGCAGCATTCTGTGCCTGCTTGTCTGACAGCGTTTCTGTTATTGTATTGGGATTACTTGTCCCTTCCTCTATTTGCTGGGTATCTTAAGGGCTTCTTCAGGTTTGTGCAATCCTAGGGATGGACACAGACCAGGTGATTACATTTTTATTCCATGAACTGTGGGGCTAACAAGGAGGAACTTCATATTAGTCCCGTAATCGCTGCCTCATCAGGGCAGTGGTTCTCGGCGAGGTCTCTGCTGCACCGCCCCCAAGTGAGCACCGGGCTCATGTGGGGGAACTCTGGGCTGTCCCAGCGACAGGGGTCGGGGCACCGCTGGCCTTCAGCGGGCCAGGACCCCGGGTGCTCAATGTTCTGCAGTGTGCTGGACAGTCTGGCACAAGGAAGGCTTGTTCTCTGCAAATGCTGTAGTTTCCTCACTAAGAACTATTTACCTAGTGGTCCTGGTCCTAAACATAGTAAAGAAGAGAATTATTTGGTAACAGAAACTGTGTTTTTGGCTCCCATCAGCCCTTGGCACACACGTGACTAGCAGAGCCTTATGCTCAGTTAGCAGATGGCTTGACAGGTCTCTCCTGCCCACTAACCCCATTTCTGTCTCTGTTTATTTCCCCTGTGTCCCCTGGGGCTTGGGTCAGGCTCCACAGTGGAGCCTGAGATGAAAGTCTGCTCCCCCAGGCACCCCCCCTCCCCCCGGGCCAGGATTTCTCTAGGCCTGAGAAGAGGATCATGGGAATTAAGTTCTGTGTATTTCTTTCGACAAATATGGCAAGATAATTTGGTCTTCATACCCTGCACAGAAGGCTCAGAGTGACTAATTTCAATGATCTTTAAAAAATCTATCTATAGCAAGCCTTCTTGGGAAAGACACCAGTGTGGAAGGTGGCATGAGATTTAAATCCAGTTTCTGTCAGGAGGTGTCAGAGATGCTGAGTGGCTCTGTCGCAGCCTTTCAGGTCCTGCTCCAGGAAGTCCACCTCTTGTTGTTGGCGCTGGCGTCCTGGCGTCTGGGACCAAGCACTCACCTCTTCACCTCTTTGGTTCTTTGCCTCAAAGATGCCATTCTTGAAAAAAGATGCCAAGCTCAGTGATTGGTGTGGTCACCATCATGCGTCCCCCTTGTTGAAAGAATTGGCCAAGAGAGCTGGGGACTCGGTGCTCCTTGGTGATGTTTTCTGGATGGTGATGCTTGTAAAGTGATTTTATAAACCAAATTCTAGTCCATTTAGTGTATGTTTCCATTTTTAGATACTCCCAGAAGTATAAAAGCATCCACTGCTACGGCTGAACGGCTTTTTCAGAAGCTGAGAAGCAAACATGAGTTCACTGTCTTGGTGACCCTGAAGCAGGCGCCCTTGAACTCCGGGGTCATTCTCTCCCTGCACCACTTGGATCACAGGTGAGTGGGGCCGCTGGCGTCTCCCATGTTTTCCTCATGTGGGGCTAGATGTGCACATGAAAGACAAGTAAACAAAGGCCAGACTGACTTCAACCCAAGGATGGCTTCGCTGCGTCACGCAGGAGTGCAGACGGCCTGCAAGAGCTGCCGGCAGCCTGGGAGCGGGAGGCGCTGCGGCCCCGGGTGCGCGGTCCTCCAGCTCGCTGACCATTGCTGCGTCCCTCGTGAGGTAGCTTCCTCGGAGGTGCAGTCAGACATGCTTCTCTTTAATTTGTGAAGAGCTCCCAAAATGCTACATTCTCTTTCTTTAGGAAATTGCTTGGGTTTAGAGTTTAATAGTCTTATAATTCTAATCACTGACAGGTAACCTCCTTTCTCAGCCCAGTTCTCAGACCACAGCACTTACAGCTGGGTTCTTGGATCTTTGTGGGATCAGAATGCATCTGGTGTCTCCCAGCTTCTCGTAGGAAGAGCTGGGGGCAGCGATGGGGAGCAGCAAGGAGAAGAAGAGACTCACTCATGACACTTGGCATATATATATATGGGTCAGGGTTTAAACCCAGTAGGGCTGTGGAGCCCCTGCTGGCCTGTGCTCTGTGGCAGGCCACCCCTCAGTGTGTGTGGGAGCTGGTTAGATGAGGTTCTCGTTGCTGTTTTCCTCACAGCATCTCTCAGCTAGTTAGTGACAGAGTCAGGACCTGGACCCGCTTCTTCTGGTCCTTAAGTCAGAGTTTCTGCCAGTACAACTGTGCTACTGCCTGACCTCTGCCCCCTGACAGCCTCGTGTTACCACCACCTGACCTGTCCCCTGACAGGCCTCGTGTTACCAGCTGACCTGTCCCATGACAGACCTTGTGTTACTGCCTGAGCTGCCCCCTGAAAGCCTTGTGTTACCGCCTGACCTCTGCCCCCTGACAGGCCTCATGTTACCACCACTTGACCTGCCCCCTGACAGGCCTCCTGTTACCACCTGACCTCTGCCCCCTGACAGCCTTGTGTTACCACCACCTGACCTGCCCCCTGACAGGCCTCCTGTTACCGCCTGACCTCTGCCCGCTGACAGGCCTCCTGTTACCACCTGACCTCTGCCCCCTGACAGGCCTCCTGTTACAGTCTGGACTGTTTTTTCCCTCTTTTTGTTGCTGACGTCATCTCTCTCGCCTTAGGCTTATGCTCACCCTTCTCCTCAGTGTCATTTCCTGAACATTTATTGATGGATTCCCTGCTTCCTCTCACAAAATATTAAGGCAGTTTACAGAGCCATCTATAGGACAAGGCAAAAATAAAATGAAAATTGAAAATGAGGGCAAAAAGAAAAGAAACCCAGTTGGATGATAAAGAGAACACACTATTCCTGGTTCTGAGACCAGAGACCTATTTCTCCTGTGGCCTCTTCGGGCGAGGTGCAGCAGGTGTCCTTAGAGAAACAGGTTCGTCTCAGCCAGGGCATTGTGCCACGGTGCCCTCCAGAAAAGGCAAATCTACAGAGATGCTAGTAACATGCATGTAGGTGTGAGGGTCCCTGAATCAGGACGGCCCTGGAGGCCCTAGGAGTGAGCAGCCACGCTCTCTACAGCCAGGGTTTCCTGCCCGAAAGCCAGTGGTGCCTCCTGGATGAGACGCTGAGAACAGAACATGTTCAGGTTCCCTATAAATGACTTCTCAGTGTAGTTCTTAAGAGTAATTCTGATTCCAAGTCAGACTTCTCCGATAAACACCTGAATTGCAGCTATTCTTTGTTGACAGGTAGGTGAGAGGTAAGTGTTGAGCATCAATAGCAATTGATTTGGACAAACTACTGACATTTCTTATAGAAACTGAGGAGCGTACTATCAGAAAGTGGTGGAATAAAGGTGCCCACCTCTGCTGGGAGTGGCCAGCAGTGCCCAAGAGCAGGGCCACTCTTTTCCTCAGGAAGGAATAGTAATATTTAACATTCATAATATTAATTTAATAATACCAAACTGTTAAATATATTAAATAAATAAAAATATTAATTTAATAATATTTAAGAATTTGAATCATAATGTACATACACTATTTTATACGTGCAATGATGTTTTACAACTTTTAAAAATCTAGCAAAATATTTTGAAGATTTCCCCATACCAATAAATATTCATATTTATTTTTAATGACAAAAGATTATTTTGCTATTAGATACAGATTAAAACAGGGGTGACCAGTTCTCACATCTACCATTAAAAAATCCAATGTGTCCAAAAAAGTGTCTAGTTTTTATCAGTAGAACTAGCTGAGGTGCCCACTACGATGAACCAGTGCAAACCATGTGCCTGGGTGGGTGAGTGTGTGTGCGCGCGACAGGGTCGCTGGCCACCCAGCAGTGAAATGCCGACAGGTGCCTGTCGGGGAACGGTCACCTGTCACCCTTCGCCTGCAGGGCCTGGGTACAGGTGCAGCTTGCTGTGAGGCTCCCAGTTCACAGAGGAACATCTGCATGCGGGGAGCTCTTCCCAGTCGCTTTGTGAGGGGCAGGCCCAGTGCTGGACGTGCGTGCGGGAGCCAGAGTCAGTCCTCTGAGTCAGGCCACGTGGGGCTGCTGCGGGCCCAACAGCGAAGGAGCCAGGGAGGAGGGGACACTGCTTCTCTCCTGAGGTGTGTTCCCAGCTCAGTCCTGACTCCGTGCCTGCTGAGCACATGGCTGTCAGGCAGCCTGCTCCGAAGCCTTAGTCCGCAGGGAGGCGTCGCGCCCAGAGCCTCAGTGGGGATCCTGCTCCCACTGGCAGGGGTGGAGGCAAGTGAGATAGCCCGGCAGGAGGGGGATGCCAGGCACCGTGGCCATCTGCTCAGGATCTGCCTGCCACGCCTTTCCGTTCTCTCTGCCTGTCCAAATCCTGGCCTTCTTAGCTCCCTGAAGCCTGTCCTGGCTTCCCGTTGGTTCCCAGCAGTTTCCACCAGTCTCTTCCTCCGTCAGCCTGCAGTGCAGTCTTCCCGTGCGTGCGGCTCCTTTGCTAATTCTAGCAGGAAACATCTTACCTAGTTGTCAGATGATTCACATATCTACATACGCGTTAATTGTATATGAGACATTAAAGGTACCATGCACTGCCTTTGATCATAATTGTAAAAAATATTTATTGAGGATTTATAAGATGTTATATTTATTTTTGAATTGAAACTACATCCCATGGTTCAAAATGTAAGAGGCACAGTAGGTTGTAGAGAAGACATCTTGCTCCACGTCTATCTCTGGCCATTTAATTTTTGCCCCAGAGGGCAACTGTTGCTGTCCCTAGAGACATTCAGAAAATAAAAATATGAAAGAGAAGTGCAGCCACAGCCAGTCAGTGGTGTGCCTGGTGGGGCAGCCCGTGCCGGCTTATGGGGCTGAAACTGTGAGCTGGACACTCCGTGGCAGTTGAAGCAGGCCGCAGTGCGCACACCTACACCGCGCAGGTCAGCAGTGCTGCCAAGTGGGGCCCTCATCATTTTTTGGATGTGATTTTATTGATAAATATTACTTTTTTCAATGAGTCCTTATTCTTTTCCTATTTCTCTTCCATGTTTCCTATACAAGTAGATGTGTGAGCCAGTATCTTAGGATTATTTCTCTAAAGGACAGGGTGCTGCTGGTGAATGTTCACCAGCACCCCTGCCTGTAGCCCTGGTGTGAGCCACCGCAACACTCTGGGGTGCAGCCTTCTGGTCCTTTTCCAGGTGTACTTGTGTGTTTGTGGAAAATTGTATACAGTTGATCATTTTTTATTAGATTTTAATTTTTTTTGCTGTCAAGGATTGTGCATGAAACCTGTAACCTCTGTTTCATCTGCCATGCTGTCACACTCAGTGAGATGCTGAGTAGCATTTAATGGCTGAAGAAATGGGTGAGAGAGCAAGAGAAATACCATCCTGAGCACACCAGGAGCCGTGGATGACCTCACAGTCTCATCAGGCTAGGGCACAGGAGCTGGAGAACGCTCAGGTTGCTTTACCAATGCAGGGTGCCTGGTCCGTCCTGAAATGTCATGAGCTCTGGGGTGAGGGTTCACCTCATCCGCAGCCACTGCTTCGAGGCAGCTCTGAGTCCGGCTTTTGGAGAATAATGAAGGACACCTGTGACAGGTTGTACGGCATCGCAGCCACTGTTACGGCCGGAAACCCAGTCATACAACTTTGTGGGCTTGGACATACGACACCAATAGGCGCTGTGTTCTGGGGTGACTGCAGCGAGCTAAGAGCAAGATGGAAGTGGGAAGGGGGCATCACAGCTTCTTGGAATTGGACGAGGGCTTTTGTCAAACCTTGGCACCGAAACACAGCTTGAAATTAAGTGTCTATTTATGACACTCCTCGGAGCCCTGCGGTGCTCTGGCGTCCTGTGAACAAAGTCCCATGGGACTGCTAGTCTGAGATGCTGGTTTCAAATGGTGTTTGAAACCATTTATGAAAAATCAGACACACATTTCATGTGAGCACAGTATGAAAACCTTTCCAGTGATTCAGCCATTTCTGTGTATATTTAGGTATATATTAGCCAAATCAGTTTTACCTAAAATAATAATATATGGCACTTTATGCCTGAAAGAATGAAGATATTCAGGTAGATCAAAGGAGTTCTTTCATTACGATAGTTTTCTGGCTATTGTATTTTGAAAGGGAAAATAAGGAATGGAGAAACAATTCTAAGGTATTGGTTCACTTATCCATTTATACAGGAAATATAAAAGAGAAATATGGAAACAGTAAAGTCTCATTGAAAAGCGAAGTATATTTATAAGTAAAGGCGGCTGAGAAAGTTTCCCCTAATTCCAAAAGGACTCTGTTCCCTTTTTCCATGTTTTACAAACCTGCAGTTTCTACACGATGAATACAGTCCCTTTTGTTGTTCCTTTGTATGTGGTACAGTCTCCTCAGTTATGTTCTGTAGTATGTGATCTTTCTCCTTTATTTAGGATAGTCTTGGGATTTAGCTACAGAAATCGGTTCTCATGGGGTTATTGGGAATTTTTCTGATACCCAAACAGCTATGCTTCTAACTT